TCCAATTCGCGTGCATCTACATAGGTGATTTCTTCTTCAGGTAGATCCTCATCCATGAGGGCAGCTTCTTGGGCTTCTTCCCTGGCGCGACGCTCTTTAAGGCCAGCGGCTGGGGAACGTATCAGGGAAATATTGCGCTGTACATCTTTCACATCCATCTGTATTTCCACTTCTCGTCCCTTGCGTAAGCGCTGCATGACAAAGTGGTCTTGGCGACGTTCCTTAATCTCGGTAACCTTCTTAATCGCATCGAGTGTTTTCTGCCACGCTTCGCGGCTGTATTTAACTGGAACGTTGCGGCGTTTCTCGAATTCGAAGCTGGGGTCAATAGAAAGTTCCTTACCCGCTGCTTTGCGGTGCGCCTTGGTCCATCGCACTTTGCGCGGGTTCTTCTTCCGCTTGAATGCTCTGTGGCATTTACTGCGACAGAATCTGAAAATCTGCAGAAATGGAACCACAGCTTTATTTAAAATAGTCAATTTGCGTAGTCGAAAATAGTTAGCTTTCCTTAACAAAGCCGATAGCTACAGCGTGGTGCATGCAAAACATAAACAATGACAACGAGCGCACTCACCTTGCAGTCATTACGCACAAATTGTATCCCGTGTCCCGGGTAAACTTTACTTGAGCAAAAATAACACGTTTCTATACGCATTTTTGTTGAATTTTGCAAAAATTGCAACGAAATTCAACAAAATTTATCAAAACGTATGCACGTGTTGTTTTTTCTGCGGATGACACTTGAAAAGGGGGATTAACAAAATAGAACTGTCAAAATGATAAATTTCGAAATCTGTTCGAAAAAACTTTCCAATGCTGCCACACCATATTAAAATTAAAATTTTTCGAATATCAGACTTTTTGGTTGTTTGAGGACCACTGGCGCTGATTTCCGTTAGCGCATGCTGTTTGAAGGCCACTGGCCATTTTTATAACAAGGGTGATTTTAAACCGAACGAAAAACAGCTAGTTTGAGAGCTGATGCATATTTTCGCAAACAGCTGTTTGATAATTTGTTGAGAAAAAAAAGTTTGTTTTCATAAAAGCGTATTTATGTATCTTGCATTTGCTTTTCTAACATCAAATATCCATTAGGAAAGTTAAAAAATTACAGTATACATTTCAATAAGTACGCTTAAAAAATTGCTAGTATACAATTTCATTTAATGCCACATCAGCATCTATATAGTGTAACCTTTTAAACAAGGCCGTAACGTTTGTTATTATTCCATTCTTTATTTGAGAGAGCCTCGTAAAATATCCACGTAAGTGAGTGCCCCCACTTCGCTAGCATGGGTGAACATAAATAATTTTTGCAAACGCTGATACAAATATCTGTGGTGATGCAGAAGTGCGTTTCACGGACCAATAGTTGAGCTTTATCTCGTGGCTACAAAGAGTGCACAAATGAGTTTCCACGGACGCATCGACAGTTCGTACACTAATCCAAGCCATAACACAGCCACGCCAGTCCATAATAGCTCTTACGCATATCGTCAACTCGACAGTACTCCGCGCACCTCACATCACACGGGTTCATCTCATTCACGATCTGTCATGTACACTCGCGATTGGCGCTCAGCGTTGCGAACGCCTCCCACCTATCGAATTGGAAATCGCACATTACGCTTCAACTATCACTTTGCTCTGCTTGTTGCCTGCGCATTTATATTGTGCTTTCTATTTGTTTACGTACGCACTGGGTCACAATCCTCATCAGATGCGGCATGGCTGAAAAGCTATAGCAGCTCAACGCACAGTAGCTCTTTTAGCAGTTCGCCGATCAATGGAGATGCTGCAGTCTACAGCGACAAATACCCGCTAACGCCCCCCGTTGGTAACACACGCCAGTGAGGTAACATATCGCATTGCTATGGTGGCTGATTTAGATACCAACTCAAAGGTTGTTAAGAAAGACGGCAGCTTGGTTTGGCGTAGCTTTTTGAAGAAAGGATACTTGATATATCGTAAATCAAAGCCAGAAATCACAATTAAATGGGACGAAGGTGAGCCTATAAGTTTGGAATCTAGTTTCTCTTTGAAAGGACGGGGCATGGAACTATCGGAGCTCGTAACCTTCAATGGAAAACTACTTAGCTTTGATGATCGGACCGGTCTTATATACGATCTTACCAATGAAAAGCCAATCCCGTGGATTATTCTACTCGATGGTAATGGACTCAACTCTAAGGGTTTCAAAGCAGAGTGGGCTACAGTGAAGGATCAACAATTATACGTTGGCTCGATGGGGAAAGAATGGACGACAAGTGCTGGGGACTTCGAAAATGAAAACCCAATGTATGTAAAGATTATATCACAGACTGGTGAGGTGCGCTCCGTGGACTGGGCTTTCAATTTTAAATATTTACGACAAGAAGCAATGCAAATTAGCTGGCCGGGCTATATGATACACGAAAGTGGTACGTGGTCTTCCTACCACAAAAAATGGTATTTCCTGCCAAGACGTTGTTCACGAGAAAAGTAAGTCGTACAAATATATTTATTTTGTACTTAATCGAGCACTTGTTTCTACAGGTACAATGAAACGCGTGACGAACACATGGGATGTAACCTGCTTATCTCAGCAGATGAAAGATTTACAAAAATCCACACAGTTCCTTTAGACGCCTCGAATTCGGCGCCTACTCATGGATTTTCTAGTTTTAAATTCGTGCCAAACACTGAGGACAAAGTCATAGTTGCTCTTAAAACTGAGGAATTGGACGGTAAGACATCTACTTACATTACAGCATTCGATGTTGAAGGGCACACAATATTCCCGGAACAGCGGATCGAAACGGATTTAAAGTACGAAGGCTTCGAATTTATTTAGTGGCAAAGTTAATAAATCCATTAGGCGTAGCTCAAAATATGCTTTTTATTGAAAGCTCGAAGTGTTTCGACATAAAATAAAAAGACTTGCCATCAGTAAACACCCTATAGTATATGCATGTATGAATGTATAAAGAAGTTAAAATTACTTTTATAGAGCAGATTTGTTTTCCGGTGACGAAGTTCGCTAGATTCATACTTGTAAACAACTAGTGATTATGCATGCGTACCTCTCAGAGGCTTGTTAAGATTTCATGAACTAACTACAAGAACACATTTACTGTCTTTCCTTTTCGGATTTTCCATACTAATTTTAAAACTATTCAGAGGTATCGCCCATTCTCCACGTACTCGAGTAAAATATTTTTTATTATCCTGCTTGTAAATATTAAAACTAAGCGCATAATTATGAAGAAAAGTGTACATTTTATTAAAAAACTGTTTTAGAGTTACATACATACAATTATTCACGAAAAAATTTAAATAAAAACAATGGGCATATGCAATAAGTTTAGACACTTCCAATTTCTGTAACTGATTTTTTTCAACAGAAAATTGTTGAATATAATTGTTAAATGGCCAAAAAATAACAAAAAACAGAAAATGTTTTGTAAAAATAACTGGTTGCAAATAGTCGACATATTTTTAAACAATTTTTTGTATTTATTGTAAGCCGGATTAAACTTTTCAAGATTTCGCTACTGATTCTGCAACTAGGATTTTGTCGAGCCCAGCAACAATTAAATCCTCTTTGTCAATGCGGCCTTCCTGTGCGCGTATTTCTAATCTTAAAGGAAATAATGCTGTACTTTCTGTGTCTTCGATTGGTTTTCATAGCTACCTATTTGCATTGTGATTAACATTCCACAGTTCTGGCAGAAATTTGGGTTTCATAGTGGTAAGAAAATGTTGGCGCCACAGCTTTTCCAATTCGCAGAGACCGCCGAATTGTGTTTGATACAATAATACTACCTTCTCACCGTGTTGGCAGTAGGTTTCATTACTCCGCCTACAAAAAAAAAAAAAAAAAACATTCATATTTTTTAAGCCGACGGCAATTATCTAGTTAAAAAAGCTTACGTAGTATCAATATTCGCAGCTTCCTTGATCAATTCGTCCGTTAGCTTTTCTTTCTGGTAATGATGCAGCAAAATACCGAGAATTTTTTTACGACGCTCGACAGGGATTTCGTTCTGACTTTGCAACAACGCCCGTGCGGCTGACTTTACTTGCCTATAAAAACCAATAAATAGGTGAACAAAGCTTATCAATTCCTTAAATGTACTAAATACTTCAATTCAGGCAACTCGATGTATTTCACAGCCGTTTCTTCTTTTGTAAATGGCGCATTGCATTGTTCTGCTAGCTTCATTCGCATTTTCAAGTCATAAATGTTACTAAGCTGATGACATTGTGGGCATAGAAGAAGCACGTCATGGGAAGTATGGGACTTCATTACCACTGAAAAGAAACAGGTTGACATTTCAACGAGCTGGAATAAATTACGTATTTACTATACCTGGAAAATGTTTTCTATATTCGCGAGGTACAACATTTTTTCGTGACAATGGATCGATCCTGCCACATACCACGCATCGATTTTCTTTTGGTGTCTGATAGTAGCGTCCTACGTCTCCCACCGCTCGCCCAGATGGTTCGAAATTCAAGCGAACAGTTAATGGGTTATTCCCTACTTGGTCTCCTAAATTCTGATCCACATACCACTGCGCTTTTTTAGAGTCTATTGTGCAGAGCAATTCGCCATCAGGAGCCTGTAAGTTGCAATTGTCGTACAAAGCTCTTGAGCGTGTGCTTATACTACGAGTTTGCATTTGTTTTTGTTTAGCTTTTTTTCCAGCGGACATGGTAACATTTCTCCTGTCAGTGTGTGTTAAATTATTCAGAAGGCCTTCCTTAAAGCGAATGTCATAAAAGGGCTGTAATCGCTCTTGAACATCCGAGAAGTTTATCTTGTTGAGATTCCAGAACGGCCTAAAATGTAAATCTATATACAGAAATTTTTATAAATGAAAAGGATATGATCTAACTTTGGATCCAATTGCATCGCAAGCTTTTCAAATATTTTCACTGCTACCAACGCATCATTTGCTGCGTACTGCAATTGTTTTTCGTTAAGTACTTTAGCCTCCCAATCTGAACAGGAAAGACGCCAGTGTTTATCCAGGTGCACATCCAACAAAGACTTTGCCATTTTTGCCAAACCTTCTGGTTTTTGATTAACCAGCGCAGCCAGATAGCGTAAGTCCAACGTGCTAGCCACACCAACGCCATAATCATATGCTAATTTGTGAGCGTCCTCCTGAGTACCAACACCAACTTTTATCACCTTATCATCCTCGAGAAGATCACGGAGATCTTTGGGAATTTGTTGCAAATTACATAGGCGAAACAGCGCACAGAGGCCTTTTTGCGAGGATAGCTGCAACAGTGCTACTGGGCGTCGTTTTCCCCCCCACAGTCACCCACTCGCAATCAAAACCAAGTACTTTGTAATCGTGACAGTGGCTGCAAGTCTCAATTATCTTAGTAAATGTGACAACCAAAGACATACATATATACATGCACATACCTTTTTAATGTAGCTAATACACGCTGACATTCATCAGGAGTTTCAATAACCGTAACTTGTTTCTTAGCCAGTGGATCTCTAAAGTTGCGTATTCGGGAGAGAATCCGAGCCCTTTGGCGAACCAAAATACATAGCAAGCCAACGCCTGCCGTCGCCAGGAATGCTGTTTTGGCAGTCATCAGTGAGCGTTTTTGTATATCACCCATACAAATTTATTTTATTGCGAATATATTTTTACTACTGATATTTTTTTCGAATTTCGACCAATTCAGCTTTGTTTTCTAAAACATATGCGTTCTTATCACAAACAGCTGTTTATAGGTTATGCACAGTGTTGCCAGAAATATTTCAGAGCAGGCTGATGTCCACGAAAATAGCAAATTGTGGTGTTCGCTTTAACCCTCCGATGAGTGACAATGCCGATGACGTTAGATTCGTGAGAAGGTCCTTAGGGACCTACAAAGAGTTGCTCGATGTTTCGACTGTACATGTGCAACTTCTTTGGTATTTATGTTGTCTTTTGATTAAATTAACGTCCTGCATATATATTAGGAATGAAATAATTTGAAGAACAAGTGAAAAAAAAATCAAAACATGAAGACAAGTAACTTGTTATTTCTTCTAAAATTGTACAAGGTCCCTAGGGACCTTGTCACTAATCCCCGTACTAACTATATATGTTGAAATCTCAATAACACTCGAACGTGATCCCGTATC